TAGTAGTAGTATTATTATTATTAACTAATTGTTACATTTCCTATTATAACTTTTGTTGTTGTTACTGTTGTTATTATATTTATTATACGACACTCATAGCAAAGATCTCATCACTTGTTTTGTCTTCCAAAAATGTGTGTTCATGGGGCGTAAAACAAGTTCATTGACTTGAAAGACAGAAACACATTTTCAACAGACTTACCAGCGATATATATGGCCAAGTTGTTGGGGTTTTTTGGGGTTTTTTTGCTTTCGTCCAACAAATTATATGATCTAAAGTGTGTCGATAAGGGTGTAAACCACCTACAATATCTTTACTTATACTTTGTGCAGAAAATTTCTCATTTGTGGTCATCAATAAATTGCCATCTGTTCTCATCTCATCTCGTCTCATATAATCTCATCTCACCTCTCGTCACCTCATCCCATTATATATCATCCCATCTTATCTACAACAGACCCACTCCTTGCTCACCTCACCTCACCTCACTCCTCTTCCCTTTATCCCATTCCATTCTATCACTTTCCATCCCATCAAATCCGATCCCTATCATCTCATCTAGCACAAACCCACCAGCGATATGACCACGTTTGCTTTGTCCTTGTCCAGTCCCCTCCACGCCCACAGACGCAGACTTTCCTCTACACTTGTCTGTTGTGAGACCCGTCCTCCCACAGAGCGGTGATGTATTCTACTGCAATCTCATCTACAACACACCCACCTCTTGTTCACCTCACTTCGCCTCACCTCAACCCCTCTTCACTTCATCTCATCCCATCATCCCATCCCATCCCATCCTTCCACATCCCATCCTTCCTCATCTCATCCCATCCCATTCCATCTCATCCCATCCCATCCTTCCCCATCCCATATCATCCCATCCCATCCCATCCCTTCCCATCCCATTCTATCTCATCTCATCTAGCACACACGCACCAGCGATATGACCACGTTTGCTTTGTCCTTGTCCAGTCCCCTCCACGTCCACAGACGGAGACTTTCCTTTACACTTGTCTGTTGTGAGACCCGTCCTCCCACAGAGCGTTGATGTATTCTGCTGCCGTCGCCCAGCCGATCTGATAGCGTCAAATAGTCTGGAGGTAGCGGGGTACTGATCACAGAAATGTAGAAACAAATAATAATCTTAGTACTTATGGAGCTAAGGCCAAATTTTGCGAACAGTATATTCTCAGAAACTACCGAGTGAAAAAATATGAAACTTTGCCAGTACCTATAACTTGAAACGTAGTGTTGAACTATTGTATTTTCATAAAGATCAAAAGTGTTAGAAGAAAGCCCATTTTAAGTTAAATTCAGTCCTTTTGTAGCGATCGCCATCATTTGCTTCGACATTGTATATTCACTGCAGAGTGCCCACTGCGCCGAAGGATATTTTGTGTTCAGTTATACATAAAGTAGGTTTACGGCAATTCCCGGTTTCGGACTTTTTATTTTTTAAGTGATTGAGCTGGAACTTTAGGAGAAAATGCCACGCCTTCGAAGAGGGGGAAGAAGTCTTACCCCTAGAGGTAGTCAAGATGGGGTGCTACATGGATAAATTAAAGGTAAAATATTTATGTTTTGTTTCTTTCCTGTTTTCAGTCTTTTTCCTCTTCTTCACTTTCCTAATAATTCTTCATTATTATTCCATTCGTAGAATGGGCACTTTTACTAATAATAAGAATAATAAGAATAATAAGAATAATAAGAATAATAAGAATAATAAGAATAATAAGAATAATAAGAATAATAAAAAATAATAATATAATCATTATCACCATTATCATTATCATCATCATCGTCATCATCATCATCATCAGCAGCAGCAGCAGCAACAGCAGCAGCAGTAGCAGCAGCAGCAGCAGCAATGAGTTTACAAACTACATTTTCCTTTTTTGAAAAAACCTTCATAAAAAATATCAAAGCAAAACATAAACCAAAACAAAAATAAAAGCAAAAAAACAAACAAAAAACAAACAACAAAAGCAATAACAACTAAAGAAAATGTTCAATAAAACAAATTACAACGAAACATAAATAACAGAAAAAGAAAACAAAAACAAACGAAAAACAAAAAAAACAAAAACAAGTGCAAAAAAACACCAATATACCCAAAAAAAGAAACAAAAAGATGAAAAATATCTGCAACAGGAAACATACCAAATAATGTGGTTTATTTGGAAGAATTTCATTTTTTTAAAAGGTACAATAAGAATAAATTGTCTTGCCTGTACAGGATCGTAAAACAACATGCAGGAATACACAAAGATCTTAATTATATATCACTCTCATTAGAATTCAACACGAAAAGAGAAGCAAAGCTGACAAAATGTACATATCACATCAGATGCATCTAACTTGGATTCTGTAGTCCCGGTAGGTGTGACTTGTAGGCCTCTGGTCTTGGTCATCATCATCATCATCATCATCATCATCATCATCATCATCATCATCATCATCAACAAGGGGTTTACAAACTACATTATCCTTTTTGGAGAAAAAAAAACTTAATTAAAAGAAAGAAAAGAAAACATAAACAAAAACAAAAGCAAAAAAAAAAAAAAAACGCTCATTAAAACAGAACAGAAATAACAAAGAAAAAGAGAACAAAAGAAAAAGCGAAAGAAAACAACAAAGAACAAGAACAAATGCATAAAAATAACAACAATATATATATTAAAAAGAAACAAAAGCAAACGAAAGGACGAAAAATATCTGCAACCTGAAACATAACGAATAATACGGTTTCGAAGAACGTCATTTTAAAAAAAATAAAAGGTGCGACTTTAACCTGGTAGGTGTGACCTGCTGGCCGCTGGTCTTGTTCTCACTGAGGCAACACTCGATCATTTCCCCTGTAGATCTACCGCCGGAAGAGTTTGTGCTCGCTGATTGGTTGCTTTCCTTAGAGGAACCAGCTGTTGCGGGGGATAAAGACAGTTTCTGTCTATTTGTTCGTTTGTCGGTTTTCTTGCTTGTTTAGTGTTGTTGGATTTATTTTTGTTTGCATGTTTGTTTGTTTGTGTGTTTGTTTGTTTAGTTTGTTTGGGGTTTGTTGTTGATGTTTCTTTCTTTTCATTTTGCGTGGGGGGGGGGGGGGGGGGTTCGTTTGTTCATTGGCTTGTTTCTTTCTCTGTTGTTTTTTAACTTTAGAAAAAAGCCAAACTCATGGGTTGAATATAACATTAAGACACACAAATCGGACTTTATAAAGATGAAATTCATGTTTTCATAATTTATTGATTTTCTACCCTTGACAATGAAAGTATTATGGCTATTTGCATTCATTTCCGTTGACAGAATTCAAATCGGTGACGCGTTTCCTCTTTAGGACAATTTTTATTGCATAAGGAGATCATTCACCTGCCTTCCATGCTTCAAATTTTGAATATTCGTCTAACAATCACAGACAAGTAGAAAACGTTAAAGGTCATCGTCTTAGGCATCTGAAATATATTCTGAAAAGGTGAAATGATGAAACGGCATAAGTATAAGTTTAACGCCCCTATCAACACTACTTAGATTATTTGGTCGCTTTTAAGGCCAAGCGGGCTAACCCATATTTCGGGGGTTTCCAGAAATCTTGACCCTCACAAAAAATGGGCATTGCCCTACCTAATGGAGAAGTTTGGTTTCATTGGCGTGTTTTATATTTGTTTTCTTATAGAAAAAAACACTCCTTGTCTTTTAAAGAAACTGAAAAAGGGGCTAAAGCTTTACCTTTTTCTCAAAACAGCATTTTTCGGGATAGCTCCCTTGTGCTTAAAAGAGACCGTTTAAGCGGCTGAACCTCCGAGTTAAACGTCCATCTCCCAAAGGACGGACCAAATAGGAAATTCGTGTAACGTGCCTTTCCCAAGGACACAACGTCGGACCGAACTGACGTGGGTAGTTTTCCGTAATAACATAATCAAAACCAAGTGCATCACGACACATTATAGTTATTTGTATCTTCTTAGCTTGTCCATCTAGCTTGCTTTTGATGGAAAAAAATCCCACCTATTGAACAGAAGTCGAGACATTTGAAACAAATGCTCGTCCCCAGGTATCAAAGGTAAAAATCATCGAGAATGTGGTGACTGTCATAGCTTGAGAGTCCTTTAGAACTGCAAATCGTCGGCGGAGAATTCTAACCGTCCAACTCCGATTTCGTAAATTTTGCAGGAGAGACAAAAAACTGAATTCAAAGGCTCCTATGGGGATTTACTATCTTTAAATGCGCTAGAGTGGAATACATGACTCTACTTTTAAGTATTTAAAACAAAATTGCCGAAATTTTATTATTTTAAGTGCTAAACCAGAGTTATACGGATAGACCGCTCAGTTTTGGATTTCTAACCGTCCAAGTGTCGACGAACGAATTGTTCGTTTAGAATTCTCCAACCCGACAGGGACGCCTCGCGCTTCGTTACGTCTAACTCAGTCATCGTGACACGTTAGTGTTACCGAACAACTCGAAATGACTACACCTGCAGTCAATCCAACAGGAAGCCTACTATAAAAGTTCTAATTAGTACTACATAGTACTGTAGATCTAGAATCTAACAATAATACTGTTTTATTATATCTAAAACTGAACGTCGAACTTTATTTCCACATAATTCTAATTAGGCAATGGGCTTGTCGACAGATTGAGTGCGTCGTTAAGGTTTTACTTTAAAGCTACTAGATCTATTTGATCCTCCATTCTCAAGGAAATTGTGAGAAGGATTGGTTTCTTGTCTAACTACAAGAGAGAGAGAGAGAGAGAGAGAGAGAGAGAGAGAGAGAGAGAGAGAGAGAGAGGGAGAGAAAGAGAGAGAGAGATTGAGAGAGAGAAGGGGGGACTGAGAGAGAGAGAGGGGGGGCGAGGGGTCTGAAAGAGAGAGAGAGAGACAGAGAGAGAGAGAGAGAGAGAGAGAGAGAGAGAGAGAGAGAGAGAGAGAGGGGGGGCAGAGAAGAATTTCCGTATACGAATTGTCTTATGGAGCTTCGTTTATGGCTAATTTTTCCTGTTTGAAGTACAGATTCTGTCGCAGTGCTTGCTCTCTAGTCACTAGCATAATAGTTCTTTCATTTATCATTTTCCTCCATGTTTTCCTGTCCTCGGTTATTTCTTCACAGATGCTGACATCTACTCCAAGCTTAGATAATCTGTTTTTGCAGATGTCTTTGTACCTCAGTTTTGACCTTCCCCTTGGTCCCTTTCCCTGGGCAAGTTGTCCATAGAGAAATTGCTTCGGAATCCGGTTGTCGTCCATTCTCTTGACATGGCCCAGCCATCTCAATCTTCTTAAACACAGGATTATTCGTAGGGTTGATTCATTATGAGCGACAACAGCAGCATCACCGGCAAAGAAAAGGTTTCGTATTCTTGTTTGGTTTGTTGATTTTGGTCTTGGCTCTAAGTCGAGCAAGATTGAAAAGCGACCCATCAGTTCTCCAGTGGAAGAAACTGAAATGTTTCTAACTCTAAAAACATGGTTTAACTTTGTTGGAAGACTCTAAAAGTAATATGATTTTTTTAAAGCTCAACTAAACCTCATATAATGCATCCCCAAGTAATGTATGGCCTAATTAAATAACACATTTTACATAGAAAGTCATCAAGATGAGGTATGCCATAGCAGCATCCAGTGTCAACAGGAATGAATTGTCCTCTTGTCCAAGCACCATTATGAGGCTTTAAAATGCTCTACCCAATGAAGCTAAAGCTCTGGTTGGCTAAAAATAAACTACATGTACATAAACCAAAACACAATAACCTGCATATCAAATTAGACTTAACCGTGGGTTTTGACTTGCGCACTGGTGACGTACTCAATTCTAGATTGTCATAGAACTTGTGGTAGTCAGATGGCACAACAGACTTCATTTCTTGCATGTGTTATTAAAGTTCTCTATGGACGAATTAAACTTTCTACCCTGGTACAGAGGCAGTCCCTTTATGTCTTTATGGAGAATGTCTGTGGACTCGCCACGCTTCAAAGGCAGATGTGACCATTATCATCAAATCTCAGTTTGTATTTAATTTGACCATCTGGTGTGTAAACTCTGGTTGGTTAGTTTGATGAAATCAGAAAAGATACAATGAGTCAAATACTTGACTACATATGGCTTCACTTTCCTACTTTCTTCCATTAGCCTGACATAATCAGCTGGGTAGTAGTTGTGCTGTGAGCACTGTCCAACCCCATCTGTGTATAGCCCTTCTCCAGGAATTTTAATGTTACAGTTTTACCATTGACAGAGCTGAAATGTAACAGTGCAAAACTCATTGTGACTTTGCAGTTCTGATACAACCACATCCATCTGAATATAATGATCTGGAGTCAAATCAGATCACAAAAAATCAGCCACACAAGGATCAAATTTATTTGCAGTCAGAGCACCTTCGCATTCATTTGAGACATAACATACACAGTCCTTGCTCTCTAGTTCCTATACTGTGAAATTGTGTACATTCAATTTCGTCTTGTAGTACAAAGCAGAAGCATTGGTGCGTGGATATAGCAGAACTGATTGCTGGTCCATTTTGCTGTACATGTATTTGATTTTGGGGCTGCCCATGCATTTTTCCTTGTCTATTGTCTTTTTTGTATGCCCCCTCTTCCACATTCCCCCCCTCAAAGCCCACACAAAGATCACACCTATCTTTTCGAGGATGGACCATGACAGGTTCATAGCATTGGTCTTCTCTTTAAACTTGAAGGTAGAAAGTACCCCCCCCCCCCAACTCATACTTTTCTTTATACAAACGGCGGTACACTGCCTGTAAGCTCTGGAAAACAGGTTCCAAGTATAACTTACTGGAGTCCTTCGGCAATAGTGAGACGGCAACTTGAGCAGATCACGAAGAAACTGTTTAAGTACCTTTGATGCTGTAGTCTCCATCCCTAAACCTTTTTCTCTGAACTGGAACCCCACCCTCTGCTACACCCAACCCACATGTGAGAACAATGTGAACACACTAGTAACAAAGTACAGGACTTAAGAAGAAAACCGTGCACTCTTTGACTCTGGCCCCATTCACTCGCAGATGGTACTTCATGGACCACGATCTTCTGCTTTCTCTCTCTTTTTTCTCCACAGGCTCGACACAGTCAACCAACCCTTTAACAAAAGCAACCTTTTCTGATTTTACATTTATTTAAAATCAAACGCCTCCATCAGAGCAAAACTTTATCGCTGTGATCCACAATGGCGAGCTACCTAAACGAATTAGACGGTTAGAATTCTTCAGTCACCGGAGCCAGTCGGAATATACGGTTAGAATTTTTCTTTAAAACAAGACTTTTGTTTGTCAAAATTGTTCTAGATTTTAATAGGACGTAGCCATTCGTCATGTCGATCTATTTTAAGGAAAAAAAAGAATTTTATTTATAATCAAACGCCTCCTTCAAAGCGTAACGTTATCGCCGTGATCCACAATGGCGGACTACCTAAACGAGTTAGACGGTTAGAATTCTTCAGTCACGGAAGTCAGTCGGAATATACGGTTAGAATTTCTCTTTAAAACAAGACTTTTGTTTGTCAAAATTGTTCTAGATTTTAATAGGACGTAGCCATTCGTTATGTCAATCTATTTTAAGGAAAAAAGCAATTCGAAAAAATTTGGAGTTAGACGGTTAGAATTCTCTGCCGACGAAATTTACATTTTCATGCCTCAATGATGCTTGTTTTGTTTTTAAATATCATTTAGTGAAACTCGCACAGAAATGTGATTTTAAATGAACACATGTGTTGACCCTCCTCCCCCAAAAGAAAAGAAAGAAAAAAAAAGAAAGCAGGAAAGAAAGAAAGAAAAAAAGAAGGAAAGAAAGAAAGAGAGAAAGAAAAAGAAATAGGAATGTTGCCCAATTTCGCTTGTAAAAAGCCAGGTTTTTCAATTTCACGATGACACACAAGTAAACTTTTCGGTTCACCTTCGAGTCCGGACTGAGTATTGTTCCAGACGACACCTTCGCACGTCCCGTCTTCGCTGTAGACTTTGACCATGACACACTTCTGGGAGGCAGTGGGGAAAACGCCCCCGGCACGGAAGAGACGGGGGTTTAGTTTCGTGACATCGTTCGGCTTGTCAAACGGCTGAGGCATCATAATATTCACCTGGTCTAGGAAGACCTCCAGAGCTTGGGGCTAAAATGGAAAAAAAAGGGGGGGGGATAGCTGAATTGGAAAGAGTGATACGAGAAATAAGGAAAGGAATAGAAAGAAACTCACTCACAATGTAGGTCAGTAAATTAACTCTTTGAGTCAGTGCAGTCTGGTTATAATTTGACAACGCTTGAATACGCTCTCTATTGAAGTATAATTGTCTATCAATGCAGATATTTACATTCAGTTTCCCGTATTTTAATGTAAAGAATGAGTATACACAAATCCTCGTTTCTACTTTGTGATTGTGTACCGTGGCTCGATGCGCCGCAACATTGCCTTTAGCCTGCTACTAGTCGTATGTAAGTCTTCACTACGCCCTTAAAGATTTTTAAAGCATTACTGCTTATGTACATTTTACGATATCATCATTTCTTCGAGATTTATAGAATCTCAGAGTAGCACTGTTTGCCCCCAAAGCAAAGGCAATAGTGGCAAGATCGATAGACTTGCACTTTAATAAAATATCCTAAATTGTGTTCTATAGTCCCAGCCGCTCTTCATTCTCGATAAAACTTCAGTTCGACGCGTGAGCACCATGGCCCATTATTGTTAAATGAAGGGCAAAAGTGCCCTGAGCATGCACTCTAAATTGTTGGTTAAAAGGGTTTACTGTAGGGGCAATGTATTCAACATGTTTTATCACTACAAGTGACTTCATATTCAAGTACGAATTCATTTGATATAATAGTCATTGACGCATGAGACAAATCAATTGATTCAATTAGTAGAAAATTATCATTGCAGACGTAACAACCTCCAAATGCTTAGAATTCTTGTGTCTATAGTTGTCTATTCCATGTTTAAAATGGCTGTAGATATTATTTTCCTTTCAACTTCTATTTACCTCGTACAAATGTTCATCTTCCCTAGCACCGGAAATGTATGCCGACAGAAGTAAACGTTTCAAGCGAGAAGTGCCCGTCCGGGAGAAAGCAGTGCTTAGTGAATCCAGCAGACTAGGGAAAAGGTGGTAATGGTTATGGGTATTACACACACACGTAATATAATACTTTTAGTTTTATCAAAGGTTTTTTTTTCGGCACTCTAGAGAAAAGATGGCAGTGGTTATGTATAATTGTATTACATACACACATGTAACACGTTAGGTTTTAGCTAGGGTTTTTCGGGACTCTAGAGAAAAGATGGTAGTGGTTATGTATATCACACACACACACACACACACACATACACACACACACATACACACACACACACACACACACAAT